TCATCCTCTCCCCACGCAGCTCCTAACGCCCATATCGCAGAAACCATGCACTAACTTTCGAATCCGACTCTGCCATCGGATTCGCCCGTCCTCAACACCTCTAGAACTCACCTCTCTCCACCCTTTCACTCTTACTAAGAAATGCGCTGAATCCTCTTTCCTTACTCCGCCATATCCTCTTCGCGCACCTCCACGCACTCCCTCTTCCTATCTAACGCTAACCTTTCTAACCTACTACTAAATCTAATCTCACCATGCAACTTGCCCAGGGCCAAAACCTCGGGATCGCCTCTTTCTTCGTTCGATTCTGTCGGAAATCGGGAGAGATATCGAGTTCCTTTCTCTCGCAACGGCCATATCCCCTTTCTTCGACGGTCCCGGGCGATGCTTCTCTTTCCTACCTCTCAATCTATTAACCTTCAACCAAAACTAACCCGACGATTGTGCTCGCCCGGGGCTAAGGCCCCCACCTGTCACTACTACTTCCCTGCGATCGTGAGGCCTCATCAGCGCTCCCTCTTTCTCGCTGCGCCCCAGCTCTAGCCCCACCATCTCTTACTCCGACTGTATCTGGCACAATTCCGCGTCCAGATTCATTCAATTCTCTCTCCCTCGTTACCGCCGCGCACGACCTCTTCTTCACAGCGCCCGACTCACATTCCGATTGCCAAATTTGGCTACACCATTCGGTTCGCAATGTCCAAAATCCCTTAGTCTGTATCTCACCCACCCCAATCCTAACTTGTGATAAGCAAGCAACGCTTTCTCCCTCCCGCCATGCTCATTCCTCCCTCACTACGGTCAGCTTTCGCTAGCTCCGCCTCTTCCCTGGCCCGTACGCGCTCGGCACCGTTTAGCGCAGGTGTCACCGAAGACTAGCGCAGTGCGACTCGGACCGTGCGAGGGTCGAACCGAACAGCAGGCAAAGCAAAAACAGTCAAAAGGAAAAGCTATTCTCGATTTATGCGTGTCATCCTTGAGCAGGGGCCATGCTAATCTTCTCTGTATCGTTCCAATTTTAACGAACGTCCCGAAGGACGAGACACGAGACGCCCTGGGGAACCACCACCGGGTTGACCGGCCCCTGGTAAATTAGAATATTTGGTTTGGCTCTTTCAGTTCCAACTAACTGGTATCGAACGCAGGCCTGTATTCCAACCGTTCATGGGCGTACCAGCCGAGCTAGGCCCTTGGGTCGCAGTTCCAACCACGGTACCGTGTCCCAGAACAGAACGGGGCATGGGAAATGGAAAGTAAAAGAAATAGTAATAGAAACATAAAAGCAAAATATATAAAAGAAATGGGAAAAAAGGGGGAACTGCTGGCACCTCGCCAGCCCCGTGGGTCGGGCCCGTCGTCGCGCCTGCTAACAAAACTGAGAGGGATAGCCTCGTCGGGCCCTCAACCTAGTCCCAAGCCGTAACCTATAGGGCTAAGCCCAAGCCTGAAACCAGCAGGCGCGAAATCCTACATGAAGTGGTGTTGCGCAGTGCTCAGGGCCAAGAAACGCCCTGGGCCGTTCGTCAGCATGCATTTGCACCTACTGCCACTAAACGTCCGCGCCGGCGGGCCCCAATTGCACCGTGGTCACCACGCACGCTATTCCACGCGCTAAGCCTACCGCCATTCAAACATGCCAGGCAAAAAGGCGGAATCTTTCAAAAAAAATCCCTAATTTAATCAGAGAAAAATAAGACTCAGTCAGTCAACTACGCGGACTCCCCGATCAACGCAAAGGAAATAAAATCACACGCACGCCTTAAAATTGTGCGCTCACTCACTCTTCATATTCAAAACAACCCTCAGCCTACACTCAGACGACCGTGGCGACCCGCGCGGTCACCCGACAATTCCGAATTACCTGAATTTTCTGTCACTTGCAAAAAACAGGGCGGATACCCTTGTAAGGGTATTCACGCCGATAGCTTACCGGACCATATTAAGCGACGTCCACGTCGCTCCGCCAAATCAGAAAACTATAAATCCATCCGCACTCCGAATGCTGACGAGAAAGGAACCAATCTGATTAGCCGGCAGACTCAGGTTAGAGGCCTCCAACAATCTGTGCCCACCCAACTGTATGCCGCTAGGGTTTCAACCTGGGTCTCCATTGTCCTGACACTAGGACGCCGGTGTATTACGCATTAATACTACAGCATAAGTTTCAATGGCCCTCTCAAACCGTCCTCTTCCCTTTGTCCTAGACAAACGCCGGCTTCTCGTTGGGTGTCCCGATTAGACTCTTCCTCGTAAGCAGAGCCATACCCCGGGACGCGGGCCTTAAATGAGACCTCAGAAGACGCTCTCGCCTTCTTCGCAAAATCCTCACGATCAAACACACAAGCATATATCTTATCTGAGCTTTTTCTGCAGTCTAGTACATATAGGTAAGGTCTCCATTCTGGCCCACAATAGCCTGGTTGATCAAGCCAGGTCTACGCTCTACCGCATTGTTATCTTAGCGGCAGTATCCCTCGCTATTTACGCAACAATAGGTTTCCTCCTGATAAGCATTCAATCAAGACTACCAGAAAAGACTCGACTCATATCCCCCGCCATCCCATTGGAGTAATTTCCCGATGCGTGCACACCACAACTCTTACTCCTTTGGTAGACGAGGGCCTGCTGCCAGGTTGTGCTGGCACGCAGCCATCCACTAGGGGTTGTGCCCTAGAGGTGCTAACCTTTACCGTTTAGCTTGGTCTTCCTTAAAATGTCCCAGGATTAGCACAAGTGTCCAGGCAGTGTGTCGCAAAAAACCACAGGCCCACTGCGGGACCACGCAGGGGTCTGTCTCACATAAAGGCGTTTACCAGTTCCCTATGGGACAACATAGAGAGCACGACATCCTTCTCACAATCATAAACATGAATCACCGCCCGGTTCACATGACTGTGGCCTCTTGACTTGATCAGAGACAGTAAACCACGCATCCCGATGACATCTACCAAATGCACTGATTTGCGACACGCTTAATTTAATTCAAAACAGTCTTTCTGGTCCTTCTCGCCAGACTTTATCAACTCAAACCTTGCTTACCATGTCCTTGAATCTATTAACCACCTTTCACACGAAGGAGGTCTCTCTTCCATGGGTCTCCCAGCCATCCCTCTCTTTTTAGGATGAACTATCACACGACCCGTTTTAAACCACCAGTTCACGCCCCGGCACTATCCTGCTATTGCAGTAAACTGCACCCTGACCTGGGCCCTTCGGCAGAGGGCCGGTAGAGCTTCGGGGCGAAGGACAGGTCGGCCTAAAAAATTAGAGTACCCATTCCAGGAGGTGCAATGGATGGGCGGGCGCCAGATATGAAAACACAAACTACGGCAAGACAAAGAAACAGGACAAAGTACGGGCTTGAAAAAGAGACAAATAAAGAAAAGAAACAAAAAAAGCTAAAAGCAAAAAAAAAACTTGTAAGGCCCGCCAAGACAAAAAAATATGGGAAATTAGTAAATTACTCTTTTTTTTTTTTTTTTTTTCACAACATGCCAATTCCAAAACGCGCCTGCCGCGCTACCTACGTTCGCCTCATCTCGACAGATGCGAAAATGACAAAACTTGTGGTGGGTGAATTTGCCCACGTTCCCGTGGAAGATGCATCCCCCTTTATTCGAAAACGTTCCATCAGGCTGTCAGCACGGACCRCACCAGAAGGCGATTTTGGCGTCCTGCCAGATTTCGGATGATTCGATTGTCGAGGGGCACTCTTGCTATAATAGGCTTTTTTTTTTTTTTTTTTTTTTTTTGCACTATGCGTTTCTTGACTGAGAGCATACTCATGCTGGGACTTTCCTCGATGTATCCGACCTCGATTGCGACTTATGATGCATGCATCTGACCGCAATCACGTCCAAGTCGAGTCAAGCATCCCATTCTGAGTATGCCCTGAACCTGGCCGCAGCTCCTGTGATACATCCATGGAAGTCCTATACGTGTGGACATGCTTGCAGGCAGATCCGTCCAGAGCGGTGTAGTCTGAGTACGCCCTGAGTTGTGTAGCCCTGTTCATTCTCTTTTCCTTCTCTTCTTTTCTTTTTTTCCTTTTTTCTCCTTTTTTCTTAGGCCTGGTTGGCGTGCCACATGAGTGAAAACAAAGTAAAAGTAAAGAACGAGATACAAAATTGAAAAACAAAAACTACGTATGTCCTGCTTTCTGTTCCATCTGCTGGCAGCAGGTCCAGCACCTCATTCTTCAAGGACGACGGCACCCCCTCACTTTCAGGCTCGACAAAATAAATCTTTTGGGAAAAAAAACAGGTCTGGGTGAACTGGTGGTTTAAAACACCTTCCTTTTGAAGATGAGTCTTCCAATAAACAAATATTACTACCTTCCTTAATCTGAAGGGGTCTCAACCATAAAACAACTCAAACTCAGAGACCAACTTATGGGTCCTCTTCACAACTCAACCATAAAACATTCGGCATGGTAAGCATTCGAGTCTCAAGAACTCGCCAAATCCCTCAGGATTCTCACACTTCTGTCACAAAAACAAACTGCACTACCTCTCCTTATACTCGGCCCCATCACCCGCCCATGGGCAGATCGCACGAGTATACCGAAGAGTAGACAACATTCACATTCACACAATACAAGACACATGAGATGTATCCCACACATCTCTCACACAAGCCATCATACAACAGGATAAAGCCACACATGCGAGAGTGATAGTGATCGTCACAAGAATAAGTCTCATAGGGTCTCAACTCAAAATACACTCAGGAAATGAAATGTCCCCCTCAAAACAACACAGATACTCAGCCCCCTCGTCCCGCTCTGCTTAGTAAAACTCATGTCCCAAGTGCTACGAACTCTCGAATCATACTAAAAAATGCAAGTAACCCAAATCACAAGGACTAAGCGTAACTGAATACTCACACACATCAGACAACTAATCCTGTCTCCTAAATCATGACAAAAATCCCAAAAAATCTCTCAAGTGCTACAACCTGCATATGTACAAGTAGACAGAACATACATGTCTAACCCACGATATGTCCATGCTCATCCTACCCTTTATGTACAAGGGTCATGCTGGCCTATAGACAAACCAGTCCCTATTCACTCATCTCCTCCTGGTTTTGCCTATACAACTGAGGCCTACCCCCATCTGCAGTCCGCTCTACAACCCTGCCTTGTCTATCATAGAATCTCTCATCCCTCTCTGTAACTCGTCCCTCCGCTTTGTCCTTGAGAAACCCCTCACACTGCAGAGCCTGATGCCCTTCCTCCTTGCAAAAGAAACAGGATGAGTCAAACCACCTCTTGGGCTTCCTCTTCCCCTGGGGGTTTGAAATCGATGGTGCCCCCGCCGCCTCAGTGGCCCCCTCGTAACATAATGGCAATCCCATGCAACCCTGAGGTTCGGACTCCGCGGCCTCGGTGCCCTCACTAGCTTGTGCGCCCGCGTTCTCTGGCCTATACTCAGGCGTGTCCAGCCTCTGGGGTCTCTCCAGCGGCATGTCTACCTCCATGGCTGCCACTAGCTCGTCTAAACGAGATGCCTCCTTCTCCACCGTCTCCACCGTCTCAGGCTCAGTGGGCGCCACTGCCCCTGTAAGGGTACCTCCCCGCACCTCCAAAAGGATTGTAGGGGACTCTTCTGCGAAACCCTCTTCTGCAGGCGGAAATTGGGGCCTCTGAGTTGGCTCCCCTGCAGGGGCCTCAATTGACATAGGGGTTGCCTGCTGCGAGGCTAACTCCGTGGGATCCTTGAAACTAAAACTCTTCCCTTCGGCCTTCCTCTTCGTCTCCGCTTCTGCGGGATCCAGGAACACCTCCTTTATTTCCTTCTGCTGAGGAGGCTCTACCGTTACTCCCTGGCCAAAGAGTCCCTGCATCCTCTCACCCTGGATACCATATCTGCTCTGCTCTGTCCAATCACCTTGGTGGCCGAAAGCCTCTCCACTGCCGCCGCCATATCTTGGAGCCTCTTTTCCCACTCAGCTTCCCTATCTTCCATACGAGTTCTCTAGGCTCGATTCTCTGCCTTCTTCTCTGCTAGATGAGTAGACAGTTGCTCCACCTCCAACTTCCTAGCCGCCAGCTCATCACTGAGCAGGGTATATCGATGGAATGACGTGGTCGCTGCCTGGCGTATCCTCCTCTCCGCTCGCTCGATCGCCATCCTGGCGGCGGAAAATCCCAAGTCTCCAGTCTCTCTCATCTCGTTCGCCCTCTGGTCTTCCTGTCTTGTCTCTCGCGACCTTAGGCAGGCGGCATCCCTCCTGCTCTCGTACCTAGCCCACATCTCATCGATCCTCTGCTCGCTCGTCCTGGGATCGATCGGCGGCACTGGCGCCACTCCTGCGGCCTCCATCATGACCTTTGGTAGACTTCTCCTCAACTGTCTCTCCCGGTGTTTTCCCTGTCCGCGCCTCGTGGGTCCCTCGAGCCGGAGCCTCAGCACTCGCCCCTCCCTCTACATGCGGCAACTCTGGCGGTGGCTCATCGGACGCTGGCATCTCAGTATCCGAGTGCTCGGCCGCATGTTCGGCTAACCGTGAGCTGACGGTCGTGCGCGCCCCCGCTCTCCCGTCCTCCTCCTGCCCCCCTATCTCTGCCATCTTCCTGGGCGAAGTGATGGCCTCCGGCGCAGGTGCTGAAACCTCTCCACTATCTGGCTCAGGAATCCCTTCTGGACAGGGCTGCTGTACATGCTCCGGGACCGGGGTATGAGGAGGAGTATCGTCCCCAACAGTAATAACCTCTTCAACCAGTGGCTCCCCTGGCTCACGCGGCTCAGTCTCTGGCTCAAGGCCTTGTGGTCCTTCCACCGGCCCATATCGTGCCGGTTCAACCAGACCGATTCCCAACTGCGAAGTCCCCCATTGAGACGCATCGAGGTGGGCCTCCAAACTCCTGAGCGGCGTCTCCGATAGTACATCCTCTCCCTCTTCTAGCAATCTCAGCGAAGGCCCCTGTAGGTCAGTACTAGTGATCTGACGAAACTCCACTCGCTCAAATCCATAAGTAGGGAGTGGCCCTGCTGCCTGAGCCGGCCCCACCGGCTCCTCCTCTCGCCGTGCCAAGGCCTTTCGGCTTCTCCTAGTCGCAGTGGCCCCCCTCGTTTCTGGGTCCAGCGGTCTCTTACTTCTCTGCCTTCTCTCGACCCAAGGCTCTGGCCTCTCAGGCTCTGGCCGCCAGAACGCCTGCCTCAGTTGAGCCTGACAATCTTCCCAATCACGCGCCCTATCCCGAATCTGTCTCGCCAATGGTCTCTCCGCCCTTCGCGTCCAGAGGAGCAATGTCTGCATCCACTCTTCCTGCACGGTCCCCTGATCGCACATATACTACTCGTAGGCTGGAATGAACTCCTCCGCATTGCCTTCCTCCAGCCGGATAGGCAGACCATCGCGTCCCACCGGCAAAGCCCTCAGCCTCTGCATCCTTGCCTCCACATCCGGCCAGGTCAAAGCCTCCTCTCGAATATGCGCGATAGGCTCCTCGAAACGTCCAACCCCCCTCAGGTTTCGTATCATCTCCAGGGTAGTCCACCCCTCCTGTGTCGCATGACCCTGGTAGGCATCCAAGAAGAGCTCTATGTTATCATCGTTGAAGACAGGCGTGGACTCCCTCCCAAACGGCCTGCGCTGGTCATTCCCTCTAGATGCTCCCGAGGGTCTCTGTTGTGGTCGTGCATCCCTCCCGCCCCTCTGCATGGCTGTCTTCGAAAAGTCAGACCTGCATATCAGGCGAGAGAAAGCAAACAGGCACACAACGAGATCAGCCATCAAGTCCATCAAGTCTACGACAAACACATACACACCTATCCCTTCCGCCCTCTACTTAGTCTAACCAGGACATGTGACACCTTTAAGATAAAAGTTTATTATGGGGGGTATGGAACTCTTTACCTATTCCCTGGCCACAAACTTCTTCAACCTGGTCCCTGACATCCAATCCTGCCACCCTGTCCCGTTCAGCTCCTCAATCTGGTAGGCCCCAAATTCTCCGCACCGCAAGATCCTATAGGGCCCCATCCACCTTTTGTCGAGTTTCCTCGACCATTGCTTCTCCAAAGAGGAGTCGTACAGTAATACGACATCCCCAACTGCCAATGGTTCCTTCCTCACTCGCGCCATCTGATCCCATCGCATCTTATCATCCATGCGGCTTCTTTCCACCTGACTGGAGGCCTCTCGTTGTCGGGGCAAATACCTTGACAAGGGTATTTGCCGGGGTTTTTCAACGTCGGACGTCGTCCGACTTTTTCGTTGAGTTGAAGGACTTGATGAGACCGACGTTTGCCAAAAGTTTATTCAGACCTGACCTAGGACGGACAGACTAAAAGTTTTCGAACGTTAGTTCGAACGCGTGTGGTGTCCAGCGGTAACGGATGTGAATGGTGATGCTTCACTTTTGTTGAGGCCGCAGGAATGAGCGGACATGGGAACGATAAAACCAAACCTAGTCTACCTAAAATAAACAGCCGCGCGATTCAGGGCCTACTAAAAAGAGGGGTGCGTCGCCTGTTGCGACGCAGAGGAAATGGGAAGCAGGTTTTTTTCTCTGGGCTGCGGGGGTTGGCATCGAGCCAAGGGGTTGATAGGCCGATGCCGAGATCACGTGGCCAACCGACGGAGTAAGGCTTGCCGGTAGGGCCTGGAAGGCCATAGGCAGGCAGGCAGGGCCTGCAGGGCCGCAGGCAAGCAGGGCCTGCGAGGCCATAGGTAGGCGAGGCCTGCAAGCCCCGACATGGGGGATAGGGGCAGGGCGGAGCTCTTCATATAGAAGAGCTGCTCCTATCACTATCGTGATAGGAGCTAGCCCAGTAGGATACAGTGCCAGACTATTACCCAACAGGTATTGGGATCGAATCCGACATATTGCGCCCTTGGGGGCTAGCTCCTTTTGGAGCTGGCCACTTTGCTGTCAGCGCGATCGATTTCGACCGTCGATCGCGAAGATCGCACGGTCGAGATCGGCCGCGCGAAGGTCAGCATGGCCCCTGCATAAGGATGACTCGCATAAAGCAAGAAAAAACAAAGAATCAAAGAAAGAAAAAAAAATTGAAGTCCGTTGGGACTCGAACCCAAGTCTGCATTTCAACAGTTCGTGGGGTGTCCCACGAAGTGGCCGTTGGCTAAGGCCAACAGGGCAAGAGAAAGAAAAAAAAAAACTAAAAAACTAAAACTGATGTGAAAGCAGAGCGCCACCTGGCGCCCTTGGAAGTGCCTGGGGCACTTCAGCCCCAGTATACGTGACAGCGCCCGTTTTAAACGGGCGACCGTTTTTAGGTGAGTTCGCTTTTTAAATTTCCTTTTTTTTTCTTTTTTTTTTTCTTTGGATTTTTTTCTTTTAGACTTTGTTTTAGATTTTCTTTAGTTGGATTTTCTTTGGTTATTTCTTTTTAGGTTTTCTTTTTCTATTCGTGGTTTTACCAGGGGTGCCCGTTCGTCGAAACGAACGGGCTGATTGCCATCTAAGGATGAGCAAAGTTGAATGAATTTGCCACAGAAAGTGGCAACATTCAGGGGCAGGCCTTAGGGCCTTGGGCTGAATTATGAGGGTTCCTCTGCACGCGCTTTCGGGATCCCAACTGCGAGGGACAGATAAGTCGTTTTTTTATGGTCGAACGCACGTTTTGCGGCGACGTTTGGGGCCTTAGGTGTCTCTCCCATAGGGACTTCACGACAGGTCGCAGTCACTGGCAACGGTTGCGACCTTAGAGAGAGAGAGAGAGAGAGAGAGAGAGAGAGAGAGAGAGAGAGAGAGAGAGAGAGGAGTCTACCTGGTGACGACGACGAGCGGGGCAAAGGCCAACAGGTAGGCCTCTCATTGTGCAGCCCTCTTGAGCCACGCGCCTGTACCGGGCGCCTATCCTGCACCAGATACGGGCGCAGTGGTAGGGGACAAATAGCCCTGATGGGCTTAACTCCAGTACGCCCCTGCAAATAAAGGGGTGGCCGTTCGTTTCAAACGGTGGGCTGCCCCTACACAGGGGAAACGAAGGGCGGGTAAGAAGAAGGAAAAAAAAGAAAACAAAGGAAGGAGGAGGAGAAAAAAAAAAGAGAAGAGAGAAATAAGTAACGGCCACGTACGTGGCCGCGGGGGCAGAATAGATGCAGAAGGGAGAAGAGAAGAGAAAGAAGGAAGGCAGAAGAAGAGATGGGGAACAAAAAAAACGTCACGGATTTGGTCGCGACGTCGGGCCAGATGCAGGGGTAGAAGCATCTGGACCTTGATGAGACAGCGGACTGTTGAGTTCAACAGTCTGCTAGGAATGGCTTGATGCAGCCGTTTTGGACTGCGTCTAGCCGCGGGTAAAGGCCAGATGCATGACCAGGGTCTGGAACTTGGTTCCCCTAGGGGAACATCAAGATTTCCAGCCCTTGATCTCGTCTGAGATCAAGGGTCAGGCCCTGATCCGAGTTTTGGCTGGGGACAAAGTTGCTGCCCTCAGCCATCGGCTGGCTATAAAAGCCAGCACTCCACCCAGCAGCCTCACAATTGCGGCAGTGCTGCTGGGGCATTCACTTGTGTGAATGCTGGCTGGCTGCTGCATGTTGCCGGTGGAGGTGCTGCTGGTGGAGTGGAGGACTGCAGTGGGCACGGGAGTGGAGGCTGCCATAGCCACCACTTCGTTTGGTGAAGTGCAGAGAAGGTGCTGCCTGCACAGTGCGGCGGCGGCTGGTCTTCGAAAAGCGGTGCAGGGGAGACTTTGGCCGTTTTGCACGGCGTGGCAGGTCTTCGGCAAGCGGTGCAGGGGGGGACTCTGCCTGTTTTGCACGGCGCAGCAGGTCTTCGGCAAGCGGTGCACGGGGGACTCTGCCCGTTTTGCACGGCGGCAACAGTGTATTTTTGGCAGTGCTGCGGGAGCGCTGCCGAATGACGGCAACCTTGATTTTTTTTGGCAGTGACGCGGGAGCACTACCGAAATTTTCGGCGGCAGCTGTGACTTTTTTGGCAGTGACGCGAGAGCGCTGCCCTAAGGGGAGGTGCTGACCGTTTGGCGGCACGACAATGGCGATGTTTTTTTGTGAGGTTACGCTGCTAATGTTTTTGGCACGTCTGCGTGATACCAGTTTTGACAGCGCGGCGAGCGGCAGTTCCGCGCTTTAATTGTTGTGGTGTGCGGCAACTATGGGGGATTCTAATGGGGCCCAGAGGTTGGACTAGCACTGGTGTATGTTGGGACTGTGTGGCAGTGGTGCGTGGGTCGACGACATGCATAAAATGCAGAGCGGTTGCATGCGGCGAAGTAATTATGGGGCTCGCGGCACCTGCGGGTTTCACCAGGGGCCACCTTTTTTTTTTTTGCGGCGCACAGTGCAAGCGGTTTTGAGTTATGGACCATCTGGTGTTGCGGGCGATGGTGTGGGACTGTATTGAGACCATCTGAGACCATTTTGGGACTAGGTGGGATTGATTGTTGTGATTGGGACTGGCATGATGGCATGGTTATTGTGAGCGGACAGGATGATTTGAGGCGGTATGGACTGGTTGTTGGTTGGGGAAGTGTCCTTGGAGCACGTGGTGCAGTAGGGACTGCGTTGAGACTATTCAGGATGTTGAAGCAACGTGGGGCTGGACGTTAAAGAGCACCCTCCTGGATGGTTATTCTATTTGAATTCTCTTAGTGAACCCAACCTTGGAGTGATTGGACACTTGGAGAAATAAGCGAACCATGGCTCAGGAGAAAGACCGCAACTTGCGAAGTTGTGAGCCGCGTATTTTCATGTGAGCCGCATATTTTCATATTCAGCAGCGATCGTTTTTGGAATATTACCCGGCTAGCCGCATATTTTCATATTCAGCGGCGATCTTTTTTGGAATATTACCCGGCTTTCTTGAGTGGGCCGGATCAAACTTCACTCAAGGTCAGTCAGTTGAATGACTCAGATTTCCCTTCACCCCTGTGTGAACCCACACCTTGCTTGACCCTGTTCGTTTGAATGTTCGAAAGAAAAGGTAGAGGAAAGTTGTGTGAGTCATACACGTGGATGGAAAAGTCTGACTCGATTTTGGGATTGTACTGTTTTCTTTTGAACTTGTTTTCTATGCATGTTGTGCAGGTAGGTAGAAGGATGCTTACAAAGGAGATTGATTGTGCCTATTTGAGATGAAGGATGATTATCCTCTTTCTATCTTTCCCCTGCCTGCATGCCAAAAACACTTGAATTTTGAAGTAAATAATTTCAATGGTGTCGTGAAAGGGAAACTTGAACATGATGAAGATGAAGATAATCAGACTTAGTCTTTCCCATAGGATTGACCCGTTTTATCTCGAATGACCTTACCTACTTGTACCTGTCCAAATGATTCTCGTTCTCTATCTCCTCTGATTTCTTTCTGTCAAGGCTACCATGAATTCAGGAGAAATAAAAAAAATATATGAAAGTTATTTGCAGTGGACACATCTTCTATCTCTAGGAAGCATCTGGGGCGGGGGTTCGTTGCTTCAGGAGTCGGCCCTGTTATCGACCCGGAGTGGACCGTTCTACAGAGGGGTACTTGCCGATTCGGTGGAGACGGCCCGACTTCTGAGACCCAAGTCTTGTGCTCGGACGAGGAGGAGGAGTACCCCTAACCACTTCCTAGAGGAAGAGGCATGCAACGCGTCAAGCAATGCCCCCGATCAAGAATCATTCACGAAGTAGCCTGTCATCCAATAAGATTAAGAAAGTATGAAGACAGGGAAGTGTGTCGAATCTTAGGTCAGTGGTAGGCTGGAATGAATGACTTTGGCAACGCGTCTCATCAAGTCAAAACTAAGGCAGATCGACTACCTTGTCGGCTGCATCTATATTATTATCGAAAGTCAACTTCTTGTTGGCGATTGTATGATTATCTTGTGATATTCGACTTGAGGCGGTCGGATTGTTTTTGATCTTGTGTTGTTGAATGCATCAAATAATGATCTGGATGCTCCCAGTTGTTACTTTGGATTGGATGTGCGTCCTATCGACTACGATCGACTTCTTCTGATGTAACTATGTATGGTTGTTACGACTTTTTTTTTAATTGTGTGTTAAAGGGACTAGGATTAATATTGGTTTCACGCTTGGTTAAGACCGTCCTAGTCGACCGACGCTAGCTTCGTACTTAGGAGATCAGCGCCCTGAGGAACGAACGACGCTCGGGTCCACTTGGCGTTAACCAAGCGTATCTATACTACAGCGAACGAGCAAACGCCCTCGGATGACCCTCCTCTGCAATTGCATTTAAAAGTTTTCGCACGTGGGTTAGTAGCTCGGTAGGGATACACCCCTAAGGGTGGTGACAGCCCCTTAGGGAAGAAAAGCTTATGCCCCGCGGGAACCTATCCTGTCGTAGGGGACCGCGGGATGTATAGCTGGCACACCCGGCTAGAGCGGCGAAGGGACGACGCGACCGCGGCCGTCTCGGCGGTTTGCGGGATCAGTTAGGCGTCATTCCCAAGTTGTCTCTTGCTTTTGTTTTTGTTTATCTCCTGCGTGACATGGCCGAGAGGGCTCCCGCACCTTTGCAAAAGGGTGGGAGCCGATGCGCTCGACATCGTAACCTTTCTTCATGAACACCTACTTGTCGTGCCCGAATATTTATTAACTCTTCGAAAGACAGGTTGACTTCCAAGTCTTGGCGTCTTCAGGTCGTCATAAAACTTTCTATGGGAAAGGTGGCATGCCTCCCGTACCACAAAGTAGCTGGCGCGTACTTGGTAGTTCTCTTCACCGTGACATTCTCCACGAAGAAGGCTGCTTGCAGGAACTTTGGCCACTGGTCGAGTTTGCCTTATGTCCACTTGGCTAGGAGATTCGTGATGGTACTGTGCCCCCTTTCCATAGGTGCGTTTGCTTGAGGAAGTGCAGTGGTTGTATAATTCGCCACTACGCCATACCCTACAAGCAAAGTCTGCACCTCATTACAGGTGAACTGCGATCCTCGATCCATCACGAACTCTTTGACGAAAGGGTAGCGTAGATAATACTCTTCGATGCAGCTTGCCAAAACTGGGTCGGTCTTCATGCAAATAGCCCGACCATCCACAAACCCAGTAAGGTTATTTCGTGCATCGAAGATGTAATTACATCCGTTCTCCCCAATCGGCATGAAGAGTAGATCCAGATGTACAACTGCGCCCACTTCCCTCTCCAACCTTGGGTGTAGGGGCTCCCCTGGCCTTTGCGTCGACCTCTCTTGGCAAGGTACACAAGACTGGCAGTACTTGATATGCATGTCCAATATTCCACTTCAATAATATAGCTCGCTTATTTTAGCGTATGTGGCATTTACTCCTCTGTGCCCGTCTGCTATACCATCGTGCAATGCTGCGATAATATCGACCTATCGGTTTCTCCCGCATACAATCCGCTTGGGGTTTCCGACTTGTCGCTTTATAAACAAGTGGCCATCTCTTGCCACATTGAGGTGCCTCATCTTCTGCGCCTTAGCACTCGCATCTCTATTCCTCATCTCACAAGACAGGAGCAGCCCCAACTCCAGATAGATTCCATCATATTCTTCCGCACGAAAGGCTTCCTTGATCTCCCCTTTCTCAAACTCGTCATCCCGACTTTCAGGAACGAGGTCCTCGCCCTCAATTGGACATAATGAGTCTTTTCGGTCAAAGTCCCCTTGCAGAAGCGTGCTCGTAAGCAGATAAATTCCTCCCATTAGCTGCTCATGCTCCTCTACTTGAGTAGGGCCTTCCTCTATCGTCCTTACTTCCTCCGCCAAATTGTGTGTACCAGCCAATGCCAATTTCATCATCCAGTGAACATCCTTACTTCCCCATGGATCCTCCTCTTGAAAGGGCTTGAGGAGTAACTCTGTCTTTTGCTCATACCCCCTAGGCGCTAGCCATATGGGGTGGCTGACCCAACTAGGCACTCGCAAGGACCATTTATTTATATGGAGGTGGACGTCTTCTTCTTGGTCCAAGAATCCATCAATTGGTGGAGTGTCTTATATCGACTCTTGATTTGGCCCGTCCCAGTTGATGCGGCTCAACCCGTCTGCCGTGTTCTTGTCCCCTGGAATCCTCTCCAACTCAAAGTTAAACATCCAAATGTACGTCAGCCATCTTGCGACGGTTGGGTTAGATGGAGTATAGTTCTTCAGGGAACAGGCGAGCGCAGTGGGGTCCACCCTCAATATGAACCTCCTGCCATAAACATAGTTCCGAAAGATCCTCAGGCAATGGAGTACCGCAAGCGTTTCCTTTTTAAACTGGGAGTAATTCCTCTCAGTCGTATTAAGTGTTCGACTCTCGAATTTTAGCGGCCTCTCCTTTCCTTCAGCATCTGCCTGAACTAGGACTCCTCCCAGGGCAGTTGGTCCAGCGTCCGTCTCAATGATGAACGACTTCTCCTCAGTGACTTCATAGTTTGGCGCCCCTAACACCAAACCTCCTTCCTTAAACTCTTCCTTCATTCGCTTCACAGCCTCTTCTTGATCTCCACCCCAAACCCATCCCTGGTCTTGACGTACCAACTTCCTCAGATGCTCAGTCTTGGCGGCAAAGTTCTTTACGAAGCTCCTCCAGAATCCACAAGTGTTGAGGAAGCTCCTTACGTTCGTTATGGAACGAAAGGGTATTGGCCACTCCACGATCTTGTTGTCCTCTTCACATCAGGTCTTCTACCACTCTCATTATAGACAAAACCCAAGATGGTCGCTTCCCTCATGCAATGCTTGGACTTTGGTCCACTCGCAAGGTTGTATTCTTCCAACAGGCTCAGGACCCGATCAAGGTCCTGGACATGCTTCCAGACAAAACGCCTTACTCCGGGCATCACTTCGTCTTCCTCTCTTTCTTTCGAGCCTTTAACCGCCAAGTCATCAATATAAGGTTGGGTGATGTGTGGACTGACCGTCTGCATGGCTCTAATCATGTGCCTTTGCACCATCGCCACCGCATTCGTCCAGCCCTGAGGGGCTACATTCATATGAATTAGCCCTCTAGGCATATGCATTATCGTTACTGGCCTATCCGGCGGATACACAGGAAACTGGTCATACCCAGAGAAGAGGTCTATAAGTGAAATTATAGGCCTCCCTGCGCATGACTCTGACAATGCGTCCGCTTTCGACAATCCTCCCACGTCTCGCACTGTCACCGCATTTAGCCGCTGCAAGTCTTGTACCCACCGTAGTGTCCCGTTCGACTGACGAAGCAAAACCAGGGGGAAGCATACGGCCCACGGGAGTAGTCAGCAACGTGCGTGCGCATCTTGCCGTCCAGGTAGTCCACCACCATCTTCTCCTAATCAGGGTTGGGATACCGCGCGCCTCTTAGATTCCATGGCTCATGTGGGACCGTGTGGATCCGAATCATCGGGATCTTGTCCACATCCAGTTTCCCACGCTGATCGTCATTGAAGCCGTAAGCGCGATGCCTCTCCTTCATTAACCCCACCATCAGAGTTTTCTCTTGGGGTGAAAGGAAGCTTGGCTCTCCAATTATCAACTTCCCTTCATTCTCATCGTTGATACGACATGAACCACTCGCTGCTTGCTCCCGCATCCGCCGTATCAATCCTCATTCCCGCTCGTAATAGGCCTCCTCATCTTCAGTAACGAGCATGGGAACTGGGCGACACTTCTTATCTACCGTCTTGTACCGCTTTTGGGAGCCCTGCTTAAGCCGTCCCCTAAAAAAGGTCGGTTTGTTGTTTGTGCTTGTGCCATCGCAGGACCTCCCCTTCCAACTGGAAGCCGATAGATCAGCTCCACCTCTCCCACCTGAGGGTTTTCCAAGACCTGCTCCCTCAGCGCCCTAATGGCCTCGGGGCTCGCCATGTCGTGCGCTGCCACTACCTCCATGGCGTTATTTACATCAGTAAGGCTTAGTGTCAACACTTTGCCCCCTCCCTCCTCCTCGGGCAGCTCCTAGAGCCTCCGCCGCTCGTTCTTAGATTCCTCGAAGGTGAACGAGCCGAGATTAGGCCTATTTCTCCCGCTCCCTGGCCCCGTGTTCCGGCAGGTGATGACTTCGTAGTCCCGCAGGCCGGGTCGCACAAGAGTAGGATCATCGTCCTATCGTGTTTGTTAAAAATCAGAGTTTCTGTCCTGCACAGGAACGATCTCCCCAAGAGAGTAGAATGGTCGACATCTGGCATGACAAAGAAACAAGTCATCGCCTGTACCTTGCCAATCTCCACGATCATATTGGACATCGTGCCGCAAAACACAGCCTTGCAATTGGCGCCATGTAGCATACCGTGGTTCGAACGGTCGACCTCCATTCCCAACATGATCGCTTCCCTTTCCCGGATGATGTTCATTTCCGCGCCCGTATCCACCATTTCGGTGCACTTATGGTCCCTCACCACCAAATCCACCTGGCCACACGCCACACACTTCCAGTCCATCCTCGTCCCTGCTTCAGTCCACTCTACCTCCCTCGACAGGATCGTACTCAGATGGACATTGGGCACTAACCTCCGTGAGAGCCGCCCCTTCAAACCATCACGGAGCCTTGGGGCTGACGCAAAAATGTCTTTCAAGTTCATTAGGTCATTGTGGCCTTCCAGAAGCCTGTCTACCATCCTTTCCACATCAAAGCCCTCTTCTAGCCGAACCGCGCACTTCTTCCTCTTAGGTACGCTGTCAGGTTGGCTCGGCTCAGCTTCCTCCTGAACCCCTCTCTTCCTAGCCTTTAGCTCCGCCCGCCGGTCTTCCTCTTGCCGGAGCCTCTCATCCTCCTCCTCGTCATCTTCCTCTTCCTCTTCCGGGACCTCCACTACCTCCTTCCGGCGCTCGGACTCAGGTTCCCTTCGAGGGGGCGCCTGACTAGGCGCCTGGCTGGGCACTTGACTGGTTCCAGCCTTGTTCTGACTTCTGGTCCGCGCCGCCTGTGGCACTCTTCCGTGCGACGTGGGGGGCCTATAGGTCATTCCCGACCTAGGGCCTGGTCCCACAGTCGCAACCCTCGGGTACCCCTGCTGTCCTGACGACGATTCGGGCCCGGACTCATAGAGGAAGACTCCAAGGAGGTTGACCTTCCACTCCTGGGTCTCATCACACAAACTCTTTAACTTTTGCTGATACCTATCCACTTTCCCCAGCAAGTCCTCCATCTTCTCCAGGATGGTTACGGTCGACTCTCCCTCCTCTCCCAACTCCTCATCATCTGACTCAACGACTATCGGCTCTTCCTTTATAGTCCCTGCCTTTAGTCGCTGAGTCACCTCCTCGTTCTCTCCCACAATCTCCTCGACCCTTACGGCCGAGTCCTCTCTTTCCTGCCACATCCTGAACATCGCCGGGGGTGCTGACCCTGCCGCCGCCCGCCTTTGGGCCTCTTGCCTGACTCCGCCTGGAGTCTTTGGGTCAATATACTGCCCGAATTTATCGTATATATCCCCGTCCATATTGGTGGAAATCAACCCAGAGAGCTCATCGTCCCGCCTCCCTTGGCAGAACCGTATGGTGTGGCCTTGATAGCCACGATGCAGACAAATGGCATTCCGCCAATCGAAGCGGGGCCTTCCATATCCTTGGCCCCCTTCCTGACCACCTTGGTCGCCTTGGTCCTGGCCCCCTTGGCCATTCCATCCACCGCCACGACCCCCGCCGTTCCTTCCTTGGCCTCGGCCACCGCCTCCTTGACCTCCCTGGCCTCGGCCTTTATACCCTGCCCGCCTTGCCCTTGGTTCCCTCCTCCGGCCACGCTAGCCTGCGATACCTGCTGCGAGGGCGGAGGTTGGGCCGTGAATTGACCTTGGGCCGCCGGAAAACTTGGTAGTCCTGCACTCGCCAGTGGACCTGAATAGGGGACCATCGGTCCTGAGGGAACTTGGCCCCCTCCCCACGAGTTACATTGATTATATGGGGGCCAGGGCGCCATTGGGTAATAGGGCAGCCAGTGTCCATATGCCGCCGGTGGCCCTATCTGCAAGGGCCTTGCTGACATAGATGCACTCACGGCAGCGGCCGGTGGCGTCGCGATCGTCTGTGGGATCTGCCCCTTTCCAGAGCCCTGCCCGCCTGTCAATAGATTGCGCTGTTTGCGTTGTGCCTTGGTCAGGACCTAGGAACCCGTTTCCTCCCCACCGTAGTCCTCGTGTCCGGTCTCCTCGTCCACCACCTCCGACACCCGACCTTGGACCACGGTCACCACCTTTTTCTGCACCTCGGCATCCTTGCCATAACCTAACTCTGTCAGCACGTCCGTTGTCGGAGGGCCCGACGTTCTGGCCCTCCTCGGTGTGTCAAATTTGCCACACCAGTTCGACATTCTAACCTGCGGGGTTAGACGTACCCCACTAGCCCAACCCGAGTGAACCACGGTCCAGCCCGCTCTACTTAACGGCAAGAAGCTGCGCTATGGGTTATCAAGCTTATTAGCCTTGCTCTCTCGGTGGCTAATCCTGCTGAGACCCTACCGCTGAATTCTATTTCTATTATTATTATTATTTTTATTATTTTATTTTATTTATTTTTTTGCGAAGGGCTCGATTAGCCTCGACAACAAATAAAATAAAAATAAATAATACTGCAAGAAAACAATGAGTCGGACTAAGTGGTGGCGGTACTCGCGTTGGTCAGGCCTGGATCCAGACCGGAGGGTGCATGCCGAGACTGTATTTCTGCAACCGGGCCTGGAAACCAGTTCCACCAGCGGGACTACCGGACCTGGAATCAGCATCAGCGGTAGTACCGCTGGGCCTGGTCTACTTAGGCAGAACCCTCCTCGGTTCCAAGGGCAGCGTACGCGTGTGCTCTGGTGCCACGTGTCTACAGGCACAGCAACCAGCAGTCGGCCTGGGGGAAATGGCCACTTGGCCGGTACAAGGAGGACTAGGGTTTGACCTTTAAGCTGAGTTCTCGACACGCGCTCGGTGCTAACAGAGAGGACGAGTTGTCGGGAGGCCAAGGGCACATGCTGCTGTGCCGCTTGTCGACCCGCGGAATTGGCACTTGGCAGTAACATGGACCTAGGGTATAGTCTTCTGGGGTATTCGGTCACTCAAGCTGCACGCGGGCATACCGACTATGCACGATCTTGGGTATGTTCGGTGATGTACTCGAGAAGACAGGAGTTCCAAGTCTGTTGATATGTCGTTAATGTACCGATGAGTTGGCAGACAAGCATGTTCGGGTCATTGATATGGTATCACGTGTGCAGGAAGCCTTTCTCTATTCATTGATCTGCCCCTATGTTGGGCTGTTATCAGATGGTTGACTGAAGACCACGCACAGTACTGCAAATGGGGAGTAAGTGGTGGGAATAATCATATCCGCATGACAGATCAGCAAGTTAAAGGTTGTGCATTCCGGTGGGACATATCACAAAAGCGGGCCAGTTAGCCCTGACTGAGCATCATGGAGACAGGGTAAACAAATGTAAAAAGAAAAAAAGATGCAGGTAATACTGGGCGGCTCATCAGGCTGATTTAATTACGTCGGACTAACAAGGATAGGTTGGTTGAGTGAACCGGGATTAATAATGCCAAATCCACGGACAACTCGTTCGCCCAGCCTAAGAGTTCAGTGGTGACTAATAGCACAAATTCGCAGCGGATTGAACTGATCCAACCGATTAGGCGATAGACCTGATCTGATATCTGTGTTGCGTCCGTGGGGTGAAGCATTAGCAGCGAGCCTGGCTGCAAAATGCCAGATACACGTCAAATCTAGAGTGGCTCGAGGTTCAGCTGGGTCTCACACTATCTTGGTTGGACATGGCTTGTCCGGGGATGGTAGTACCAACAAAACTGTGTGTGTGCAATGGAAGACTGGATGCTTTCCTCTATAGTCTACTAGGCAAGTTCACCACTTATCATATGCTCCAAGCAAACTGCAGTGACGGTAATTACATTCTTATTTCCTTTCCCCCCTTACTTTTCTTTATTATTGTTATTCTTAATGCTTAATCCATGGGCAGTCCACAGGGTGATCGGGACACTTGAGTATAGATAGAGTGGAGACTGCTTGAGCATATTGTGAATAAACCTTGCCAAACTCTTCGATCCGATTCGCTCGTTGCTGGGTGTTGGGGATAGAGAAAGAAGCCGTACTTTGTTGTTTCTTCTTCAGTGTACACTCCGTAGTTGTAACTACACGCCTGTTTACACACATGCGCGATTGCACTCACCCAGCCACCAAGCGGGAGCAGCCTTAAGTGAAGGCTGCGCTCACCACCGCTTGCTGGGTGGAGCATTATTCGTTAATTTAATGTTTTATAATTTTGAAATTAGTAAATTAGTAAAATCCCGTGATTGGGATCCAGTCTGATCACCCAATCACGGGACAGCCAGCGAGCGGGAGCAGCCCGGAGTGAAGGCTGAGCTCGCCGCCGCTTGCTGGCCCAAGCAGTTAAATTATTTCTGTAATTTCGAAAATAATAAATTAGTAAAATCCTATGATTAGGGATCACGACTAATCACCCAATCACGGGACAGCCAACAAGCGGGAGCAGCCCTGAGTGAAGGCTGAGCTCGTCGCCGCTTGCTGGTCCAACTAGTTAGACTATTTCTGTAATTTCGAAAAAAATAAATTAGTAAAATCCCGTGATTGGGATCACGACTGATCACCCAATCACGGGACAGCCGGCAAGCGGGAGCAGCCCTAAGTGAAGGTTGAGCTCGTCGCCGCTTGCTGGTCCAACCAGTTAGACTATGTCTGTAATTTCGAAAATAATAAATTAGTAAAATCCCGTGATTAGGGATCACGACTGATCACCCAATCACGGGATAGCCAGCAAGCGGGAGCAGCCCTGAGTGAAGGTTGAGCTCGTCGCCACTTGCTGGTCCAACCAGTTAGACTATTTCTGTAATTTCGAAAATAATAAATTAGTAAAATCCCGTGATTGGGATCACGACTGATCACCCAATCACGGGACAGCCAGCAAGCGGGAACAGCCCTGAGTGAAGGCTGAGCTCGTCGCCGCTTGCTGGTCCAACCAGTTAGACTATTTCTGTAATTTCAAAATTAATAAATTACTAAAATCCCGTGATTGGGATCACGACAGATCACCCAATCACGGGACAACCAGCAAGTGGGAGCAGCCCTGAGTGAAGGCTGAAGTAGTCGCCGCTTGCTGGTCCAAGCAGTTAGATTATTTCTGTAATTTCAAAATAAATAAATAACAAAAATCGCGTGATTGGGATCATGTCAGATCACCCAATCACGGGACAACCAGCAAGCGAGAGCAGCCCTAAGCGAAGGCTGAGCTCGCCGCCGCTTGCTGGTTCAAGCAGTCTCAACATTTTGTAATTATGAAATTAATAAATTACTAAAATCCCATGATTGGGATCACGACAGATCAACCAATCACGGGACAGCCAGCAAGTGGGAGCAACCCTGAGTGAAGGCTGAACTAGTCGCCGCTTGCTGGTCCAAGCAGTTAGATTATTTCTGAAATTTCAAAATAAATAAATAACAAAAATCCTGTGATTGGGATCATGTCAGATCACCCAATCACGGGACAACCAGCAAGCGGGAGCAACCCTAAGCGAAGGCTGAGCTCGTCGCCGCTTGCTGGTTCAAGCAGTCTCAACATTTTGTAATTCTGAAATTAATAAATTACTAATATCCCGTGATTGGGATCACGACAGATCACCCAATCACGGGACAGCCAGCAAGTGGGAGCAGCCCTGAGTGAAGGTTGAACTAGTCGCCGCTTGCTGGTCCAAGAAGTTAGATTATTTCTGTAATTTTGAAATAAATAAATAACAAAAATCCCGTGATTGGGATCATGTCAAATCACCCAATCACGGGACAACCAGCAAGCGGGAGCAACCCTAAGCGAAGGCTGAGCTCGCCGCCGCTTGCTGGTTCAAGCAGTCTTAGCTTTTCGTAATTCTGAAATTAATAAATTACTAAAATCCCGTGATTGGGATCACTACAGATCACCCAATCACGGGACAGCCAGCAAGCGGAAGCAGCCCCAAGTAAAGGTTGAGCTCACTGCCGCTTGCTGAGTCAAGCTATCTTAGTATTTTTGAAATTTCGAGTTTAACTAATTAGTAAAATCCCATGATCGGGATCACGACTGAGCACCCAATCAAACACGCTGTGGGCAGCGGTGCCCATGCCCTAAGTGAAGGCCAGGTGCTATACACCGCTGCCACACTCAGAGTGAGCGTTTCTATTTATTTTATTGTATTAAATTATTGATCAGCCTGTGATTGGCTGATCACATACGCTGTGGGCAGCGGTGCCCAGGCCCTAAGTGAAGGTCAGGTGCTATACACCGCTGCCACACTCAGAGTGAGCGTTTCTATTTATTTTATTTTATTAAATTATTGATCAGCCTGTGATTGGCTGATCACATACGCTATGGGCAGAGGTGCCCAGGCCCTAAGTGAAGGCGAGGTGCTATACACCGCTGCCACGCTCAGAGTGAGCGTTTCTATTTAATTTATTTTATTATATTATTGATCAGCCTGTGATTGGCAGATCACATACGCTGTGGCCAGCGGTGCCCAGGCCCTAA